GGCATAATTATGCAGCTTTGTATACATATTGATAGAAACTAATTACATCTTATCGACAATAATTAACCATGATTGAAATAGTAATGGGAAGATTCGAAATTTGACTTCCATTTATTCATGAAAATTGCATTATCACGATTGGTTTATGTATGGCTTTGTATATGTCCCAAACAAAACTAAAAAGTTTGGGACGCTGTGGTTGAGTGGTAATGAGACAGGATTCAACATATTCCAAATTCGATCCATCTGCTGTGCGAAACTAAATTATATTGTCCTAAACACCCACATGGATATGGATTCTTGCTTTCGGCCTATTTGCATATCCAGATGGAGAGTCTATCCATAAACTACACATCTCTCAAAGATTATCTGAATCTTTTGGTCTGAGATTTACTCAGAATTACCAAAAAAAACTAAACTAAAAGGTATTACGACCAAAAAAAAAGAATTATAATCCACGAACTAATTACATTTAAATATGTACTTCTTCTTTTCTCTTTTAACTTTTCCTTTTCTTTTAGTTTTCTTATAATACTTTTGTAAAACGGTAGGTATTGTGTAGTAGTAAATAAACCTTAAAAATGCCAAAGAATATCCTTATCTTCAAGAGTTCTACATGTGTTAATACCACCACCGACAAGTAACTCGCGTAACCTACTAGTTGGTTGAAACTTATGAGTACAATTTTTGAAAATGAAAAAAAAAATCAGTGATTATCCTTCTACTCTGAATCCTTTACTTCTTTTTGTCAAAAGACACACACCATTAATTTTTATTTTTACAAAAGACCATAATTAGGGGCAACATTTTAGAAGTCAACTGTTAGTCAACACTTGCCTCTCAATTAATCATCTCAAGTAACAAAATTATCAACAAACTGTTCCTCCTTACTATCCTTAACATCTGCAAATTATAATTTGATCACAGGACCCAAAATATGAAGTTGCATCCATTTGATACAATATTAAAGATTTGACTCATAATTTATGATAAAACATTATAATACACCGTCTCTTTTTTTTTTTTTGCAATTAACAGTACATGTGTTTAAATCTAAAGGTTTTAGAGCTATCTTGATTATTTAGTCACACATGTGTTTTTTTAATATATATAAACATTCCCATCAAAATTCTAAAGTTCATGACACTTGGTACAAAAATAATAATAAGTTGAATGAGACTATTAGAAAGGGATTTTTTCCTTTAT